ACTCCCTGGTCGGTTTTGTGACAAAATCTAATTTAATGTGACAAAATCTAATTTAATTCGTCAACGCCAAGAATAGAAAAACATGTTTACGTTGTTACAACGCGCGCCAAGCAACGGCGTGTTTCCACGTTACGCCCCTAGCAACGGCGTGTTTCCAAGGAATGAACGCATACTTTTCAACGATGCAACAACGCGTTTAAAATGCAAGCTGCAAGCTCAACTGCAATTGGTTGTATCAGCCTACATGTCAAGTTAACCCATTAAGTTGCATTGCGCCCTAATGTCAATAATGTGCCCTACGTTATTATTCTACTCTGTCTAACGCCAGATGATTTTACTCGTCAAGGGGATAGCACTGGCCTCGCCAATGATATGCAACAAATACAAGTTGTGTGGCCAGCCAGTATAGCCACAAATATAGTTTATTCAAGTGTGCAAAAACATCATATCTTAATTAAATTCCTCATTATGTACATAGAAATGTAAACATTGTATATCTGCATGAATCTCAAGATATTACACTCCTTCCCGCCTACCTTCTTGCAAAAAGGACATGTTGAAAAAGCAAAAACCGTCACAGTATGCGATTTTATAGCCTCTTCGACAAATGCCTTGACGTCTGAGCCTTCCCCAGGAACAGGCGGCATCTTTTTCGCCACAAGTTCGTCCTTCGCTTCGCTAACACGCTTCAGATTTAATTCGGCTTAAGAGTATCAAACAAACCTGTAAAAAAGGTGCTTATGTTAGTAAATATCACATAAAAACCGGCCTATTTATACTCACAGAGTACCAAAGTTGTATTTGAAAAATATTATGTAAATTACTGGGCTAAAACAAGCGTAATCTAAAGTTGCCATATTGCACAAATATTTAAAACTCGATAATAATTACAGCGACACAAATATGCATGTTAAATTGTTAATACCACTCACATCAGATCACACGATACTTTAACAAGAAACTGCTGGTTGTTTCTCAGAAAAAATATGATAAAAACAGGCGATTCTTTAACACTTTAATGATTTTCTACTTGAAAAGTCGTGGAACAACAGCAGCCAATTACAGACTTACTGCAAAAGCTGATGGCTGTAAATAAGTGGCACTCACCTTCCCTCTCGAATTTATAATTCCGCGAAAATGACTCAAGAATTCATGTAAGCAAAATCAAAGGGGTTTTCAAATCCTAGTGCCAGTGCATTTATAAAGCGCGGTCTATTCTTGGAAAGACACTTTGGCTATAATTGCTAGATAGTATACTTCAAAATAAGGTTTCCGTTTTTATAACGTAGAAAAACCATCCTAACACAAAACTAAACCCTAACCCTAATACTAACCTTAACCCTAACCCTAACCCCAACCCTAACCTTAACTTATTTAAAAATACATTTATACAGCCTCGTTATAAACATGTTATTAGTAGAGAATTTTATACATTCTTATTTACAATTTATGTATAAACTTAATAGTATATACAAATTATTGAACTATATACAATGTCTATTATACATAAGCTTATATACAACATTAGCAATATTAATTAAGCCTATTTTTTTTCAATTTCATTAAAATTTTTATATCCCATTTCCCAAGAACGCTCCATTGTAGTGAAGACGAAAACAAGCCATTCCGAGGTTCTCAACGTGGCGTGATGTCATAAGGATGACGTCATCTTGGAGGACGTCGATTCTTCAAAGGAGTATCTGTCACGAGACCAATGACGTCATCAACCAGTTTCAGTGTAGATGGTGTGAGCGGGCAGTCTGGAGATAGCGAACTTGAAATTGTCTGGGGTTTGACGTAGTACCTGAAAATATCAAAAGAGTGCTTCCAGATAGGCTCTACCAAACACCAGAAATTTTCTCCGGGTCAGTCTGATTCTCAATCAAATGGTCTGCAAACAATTACTTGTTACAAATCTGTCCACAAGCTATCAACAAGTTGTGTTCAAACTGCTTGTACCTAGTTGTTGTGACAAGTTTGGAACAAGCTGATAACAACTTGTCAGGCAAGCTTGATGGCATTCTCAAACTTGTTACAAGGTTGTCCTAACAAGTTTGACACAATCATGACATAACAAGAATGTTACAAGGTTGACGACACAAGGTTGTAACAATATTGTTGTATCATGACTGTATCGGACTTGTTGGAACAACTTTGCAAGAAGTCTGATAATATCAACAAGGTTGTTACAGTTTGTTCCAAACTTGTTGACAACTTGGGACAAGCAGTGCGAACAAAACTTGTTGACGGCTTGTTGGCAGACTTGTTACAAGATGAGAGATTTTTGCGTGTGTACTTGTCAACAAGATGTGTTCGCAACAGGCTTGTAGCAAGCTTGTCAACAAGTTGTAACAATGTTGTTATTTTATCAAGTTGCTACAAGGTTGTTACTCACAACTTGTTGACAAATTGTTGAATTGCAGGACGAAACAAGTTGTTGGAACAACTTGTAACAAGTCTGTTGAGCTCAACAACCTTGTAGCAAGTTGTCAACAAGCTGGGAACAAGCAGTGCGAACACATCCTGTTGACACAGAATAGGAAGTTATACCAGAAGCGTAACTCTAGTCGTTTCCCTTATTGTTTGACGTCCACGAAAATTTTAACTCGCTCACGTCAGGCCACGCCATCCTGGCTAGTACAGCCGGAAGTTTTTGTCAGGATTTGGTAGGTACAAAGTGCCGGTTGTACTAGCCAGGATGGCGTGATTGATGACGATCGCTTGTAAAAACGCGGACAAATATTTGCTCGAGTTACGCTTCTGGTATAACTTCCTATTCTGTGCTGTTGACAAGTTGTTGGAACAGCATTGCTACAAGTCTGCTGCAGGTTTGTTACAACTTGTGCGTTTTTACGTGTACTCTAAAATAGATTAGGCAATATTTACCTAAATTCTTCAGTATAGAAATCATGAATATGCCGGCGTAATTTTGAACTCTGTTGTAGAATGGTTTTCAGTACAGACAATAATCTGTATAATAACGTCGTATCATCGGAAGTCAGGAAGTTGTTTTCAGCCCTTGTGATAATCTCCATCACTTGTTCAACAAACGCTTGAAGATATCTATGCTATGATGATATGAAGATAAAAAAAAAAAAGAAAAAAAAAAGAAAAAAAAAGAAAAGATATCGATTTTCAAATTGATTAAAATAGAACAATACAACGATTATGTGGAAAACTCCGGCAGACAAAATTACGAAAAATAGAACATTACAAAATTACGAAATATAATTACCACCGAAATGTAATTACCACCAATAATTATACTTACAACTGTTGTCGATGATTCTACAATTTTTACCATCCAAGATATATTCAATGTTTTATCATCAGATGGAAACCACACCGCCTATTAAAAAGAACACGATTGGAGTTTTTGGGGTGGAAATGGAATGAGTTTTTAACTAGTTTGAATATTAATATTTCTAGTAAGAATATAAATATTTCTGGTAGGAATATAAATATTTGAAATAAAAATTAATTTCAGGAATATTGTAGTCAGATATATTGGACACCTAATTTGTACCCAATTTCCACTCCTCCCCCTCAAAAAAAACAACAATGAGCAATTCCAAAGCAATCAATGAAATCACGCAATGAATACCTGATAAGCAATGATAAACAGTTCATGTAACAAAGCAACTTGATGTCTGACCAATTCACTGGAAAGATTTTCAAGCTAAAAAAATAACACCACAATATAATAAATCAATCAATCTTTGACCCCGTTCACACGATACCGGCATGGAATTCTGCCGGCAGAAAATCATCACGGTTTCAACTGTTCACACGATACCGGCAGATTATATTCCGCTTTGACATTATGCTGCACAAATCAGTTAAAATAGATAGAATAAAATATCCAACAACAACTTTTGCAGTTTTGTTAATTTCACTTGGCATAACCGTAATGAAATGCTTACGGTTAGGCGTTCACACGGCACTCTGACGGTAGAATTTCGTTCCATTTTCAAACTCTTACGGTTAGTATATCATTTTCAAACTCCTACGGTTAGCGTTACGGTTTCATATTTTTTCATAACGGCATCGTGTGAACGCAACCCCTAAACGTAAGAATTTCGTTCCGTTTTCAAACTCTGCCGGTATCGTGTGAACGGGGTCTTTGTCTCTAAGCATAGAAAAGTCCTCTGGCAGGAATCGGCCCTGCTATTCTGGCACAGAATGTGCACTTCACTAATTGGTTGAAAATAAATATACTGGAGTAGGTAATCCAAGTGACGATATATATTGTGAGTGCCTTTGATGATAAATACCTCAATGTCGTGTGAAGATTTCTCTTTCTTATTTTTCTTCTTGCGGTGTCTGCCAGTCAACAATATTTCAGCTGCCTCGGAAATGTCTGGTGTTTCAATGACTGATGAGGTCTTGCTCAATTCAGGACATGAAATGCTTGCAAGAATAAGATCACGTACTACAGAGTACCTACGAAAAAGATATAGACCCGTTTACACGAGAGTAAGAATAAAATCGACTGCCATTTGACTGACAGACATTAGATATTGGGCAAGTCTACAATGATGTAAACATGCGGTTATTTTTCTTACTTCTTGCTTTGAAGACGAGTCATGCGAGATGAAAGGAGTTCCGTTTCTCTAAACATCTCAGTCAGGCACTCGATAAGAAGAAGAACGAATCTATTAAGAAAAAATATAAGAGTATTTGTATTATTTTAACTATGATCTGCATGCCTATGGATTTCTGTATATGGTTTCGCTAAGCACCATCGTACAACAGATGGTGATCAATCTGCAGTTATCAGTAGGCTTCTACAGATTATGCTCGGCAACTTTTTGGCAACTTTTGGCATTTTGGGCAACTTTTTATGATATCACCAACTTCAAGCAACTTCCTCCTGGAAATGCATAAAATTTCTGGCAATATAGACCATGTTTTCTAATTTTATTTATAGAAAGATAATGAAATGCTTGATAGCCTTCATCCATATTCTCTCCAAGCTCTTTTTCTTGGTCATATGAATGAATAGCACGACAAGGCCCCCAAATATTTTCCTTATCCTTGGCCATTTGACAAACTTCTTAGCTTACCATTACCGTTCTACAGTTTGGGAGATCCTATGGCAGTCCGCAGCTTAACATATTTGCTGAAACATCCATAACAACACCCATAAGTTAACTGCAAACCCCATTAATGCTTAGATATAATACTAGTCAGAGAAAGTAAACGTACCGTGAAACATCTCAAACTGATTTGATAGCTTTTTAGCTTTTAAGGTGTTAAAAGACTTTATAGTTTTGAACTATAGCTATAGTTATGAACTGTTATCATTGTATTTATCTACAGTGTTTAATATACGGTCATATCTTGCTTTGCACCCTCTCGTTACGAGAAACATTTGGCATTTTGGAGCAACTTTTTTTCAATTTTCGAGCAACTTTTGAGCAACTTATTCAATTTTCGAGCAAGTTTTGAGCAACTTATTCAATTTTCGAGCAACTTTTGAGCATTTTTTGAGCATTTTTAGAGCACAATTTCAGCATTTTCGTAGCATAATCTGTAGAAGCCTAGTTGTCAGAGTGAGAAAATAATGTGAATTGTTCATTGTTTAGTTTATTATCTACGATTTTAACGTCCTTATCCAAGAAGATCGCGAAAGTCTAACCATTTACTGATGTTAATGCATATAAAGGTAGCTCTTTCTCCTCAATTATTATAAGACCGGCCTTGAGTAGAGGTCCGACCAAGATAGATAGATAGATAGATAGATAGATAGATAGTTTATTGAAATTTACATTGCAGCCATAAGCTGAATTAAGTAAAATTTACAAGAATTGATAAAAGAGAGGATCTTAAAACATGTTGGAGAATTCCACTATGCATTATATATGTACAAGTTAGAAAATACAATACCTAGATGCTAATTATGCCTAAATTAGGTTACGACGGTAAAAACTATTTCTGAAATGGTTCATTGTTTAAAACAGTTCTTGAACTGATCGTGTTTATACTTAGATTGCCTAATACTATTGTTAATTATGCCTTAATTGAATTACTGATGATAAAACTATTTCTATAACGGTTCGTTTTTACTCTTGGGTTATTGAATTTCGACTTTTTCCGTAAATTAAGCGAGATATTGGTTTTAGCAGGCAGTAGTTCGTGTAATTTGTGTGCATCATCGTTCATAATATTTAGGAAGACTTTGTTAGTAATCTGTTGGCGCCGTAGGAATA